TAGCTTTACTTAACCAAGAACAGAACTCAGCAAAAGAGATTTTTTTAGGTTTTGTTTTGTGTGTGAGCGATATATATAGAGAGAGAGTAAGGTGTTGAGTTATATATACATAGATGGGGACCAAAAGARAGTTTTGCAATATTCTGAAAAGTCAGTTATTCAATACTATATAATTATTCTTTTATGCATGTAGATTTTTTTTTATTTCATACATACAAAACCTAATTTAATATGTATTATGGCCTATTATTGCCAAATTAGAGAAGCTTATCACTCTATATATTACTTAGAAAAAACATTGGAATTAAATGTTGGGAAAAAAATTCTTATGTCGAATATTTATTTCTCTTTAATTTACTTAAAAATATATAGACAGGTCGAACAAGAAATAAAATTGAGAATTTTCAAAAAATGTCACTTTTCAAGTACCATTTTATGAAAATGCCACACTTTTGCAATCTTTACAAAAATGCCACTTTTTCAAAATTATTTTTTCCTTATATTATTTATATTTGGATTAATTATGTTCTATTAGGGTTTAGTTATGAGGGTTTAAGGGTCAAAATATTTTTTAGTGTTTAGAATTTTAAGATATAGGGTTTAAAAATCTATAATTAGTGGCATTTTTACAAATGAACATCCCTAAATGATATTTTTGTAAATGTGCACATAAAAATTGGTATTCTTGTAATTTCCCCAATAAAATTCATATTTTCGATAGATTTAAAGATTAGTTAACCATGCATCGTTAGGTTTAGTGACCTATAAGATAAAGTTGTGTTTAGAATTCTCTAAAAATATGAAATGTATTATTATTTTGTTTTTCTTCTGTAAATCAGGAATAAACTGAAAGCACTCTTGACATTTTGTTGATTTAGTGACAATAATAATTAATAAAAATTGTTGGGGGGATCGAATCAGATGATATCTGGTGGAGAAGGACTGAAAGAGACAGAGAAGTTAGAAATAAACATGAAAAAGGAAAGGGACAAATGAGGGAATTAGAAAGGTGAGGGCATCATCGGTATTTACTTGGACGAAAAAACAAACCCCATTTTTTTCAATTTCTCTGTCTCTTTTCAATTATTACTTCAACAGCTTTAATTGTTATGTATATGTCTACGTATGAAAGATATTACCCATACTAGGGGTGAAATTATTACCCGAGATCTGAACTGTTATTCGTTTGGATTTGTTTCGAAAATTAAGATATCCGGAGAGTCCAGATCCTAATAAGTATAGTAATATATAGGATCTACGAAAGAGGATCTGGACCCAGATAGCAAAATTTTAAGGTTCCGATATCCGGATTTGGATCCGGACGCATTAAATATATTAAAAACATATATATTTTTCATATATTAAGCTATTTTTATAAAAATATATATACAAAAATTAATTTTAGTTCTTTTTATAATATATTATATTGATTATGAAAAAATATCATTCAAAATTTTAACTAATAATTTTTTTTAATTGTTTTTTTTTATTTTATTAATTATTTTAATTATTTTTTTATATTAATTTCAGATCCGGATATTCCCGGATATCCTAATTTTTGGTCGGATATTCAAAATCTGGATATTCGAAAGCCATATATATTTTTACCACGGATCCGGATCCGTCCCACCCCTCTCATACCCATACAATTATATTGTATCAATAATTGAATTAAATAAATTTAACGTAGGAATGAAATAAAATATAATTTTTGGAGAATGAATTATAAAAGTGAAAAACACTGTTTGATTATTCGTTAAGGCAGTTATTTCTTTCTACGCTGTTTAAGTTCGGATCGTGTATCATAAAATTATGATATACAGGTTATTGTTTTATTTTATGTAAACCTAAAAATTTCTTTCATCATATCTCTTTTTTTTTTTAACGCAATAACATGAAATATCAAAGTTAATTACATCTAATTATTGGACGTATGCTAATGATGACAACCATTGTAACAATTAACAAAAATTTTCATTAATGACAAATAGTTGTTTTTGTATGCTATTAAAAAATAGTTCATTCAAGATATCAATAGCTATACTATGACTCTGTATGTACTAGTGTTCTTTTTTAATTGT